TTTTTMTMMTTTTTTTTTTTTTAACGGTGAGGCCACCACCTTTTTTATTCCCGTAGTACAGTGATAATTAAAGTTACTCTCGAAAAAATATCATCACTTTACTCCATTTTATTTGAGATGAAAAATTTGTACCAAATCAGTTCGAATTCTTGGTTCATCTTCAACAAAGGTTCCGACACAGAAATTTGCAATAAAATGTAGTAAAACAATCTAGGATTACTTTGATTTTCCTTTCGCTTGATGATTGGTGAAGAAATCTTGTGCCTCTATAACCAGCTGACTTGCAGCTGGATCACGGGCATTTTCCTGCGCGTCAGAGATTTTCCTTGTATCTACTTCAAGTTCTTTGTGGTTTTTAGTGATTAGTCTCAGTTCTCACTTACCTACTAAAGGGTCATCGTCGAGATTTACGTCGTTATCACCTGAAGTTTCGTTCTCTGAAATAATTAAGAGATGTAGCAACGCTTTTACGTAAAACGGCAAACATCAGCTTACCCTTTAACGTTTCACGTAAAATAGTGTGAATCTTGCTCCTTTTGCTTCGCGTGAGTTCACGCGTTATCATGGTGGATTTGAAGGCGCGCTTGTATGACTTACAACGAATAGTTTTGATGCACTATTTCCGGTAATCAAGTTCTACTCTATCGGAAAACGTGAAAAAGGGGAGGGGAAAAAAGGGTCACGTGGTCACTCTTGCCCTTCAAGTTTCACGTAAACGCGGTTCTAAATCTCTCTTATAACAAATATTTAAGATATCGTCTACACGTACCAGAACTGCGCTAATTTTCTATTTCAGTGACTCGTGATGAAATGCACAATTCATGGAATATATGTTTTGATATCCCAGACGATCACCGTACCGATAAGAATAAGTGGACATGTTAAAATTTACCCTGTTTGTTGACAAACTCTTAATTCCACAACATACTCCTGTGTTAATAGCACACACAAAAAGCTGATCAACAATCAATTTCTTACCTGATAAGTTGTTGACAAGAGAGTCCTCGTTTCCTTCAGCTGCCTCAGTTTGTGTCTCTTTGATAACTAAAACGAAAAGGGAAATGATAATAACGCAATCAGTTGTGACCTGTAATATAGTTTTTTGTGTACTTCTAATATTTCTTGGTTTTTGCCCTTCTGTTGAGCAGAATCTGCCTTAAGTAAGTAATCCTGCTTTCCAAAGTCAGTCCTTTTAACGTTTTACGTTATTGCGGAGTCCTAGTCAGTATTGTGGTTCGTTAGTCCACGATGTAGAGAAACGCGGTTGTTAACATCACCATTCCTCGTGACCGATCTTTTCAACTGCTCCTTGTTAGTTTTGTTTGAAAATAAATGTTATTTGTTTTTGAATTTTTATGGATTTCGCCTTCGTCCGCTAGGTGCCGAAAATCTTCGTTAAAAACGCCCGCCGGCCAGTCTTTAGCAGAAAAAAAGATCCATGCATATTTTACTTAACACGGCTCAGCGTCTTTTAGAATTAAAAAATTCATTTAATTTCCTAACTTACCTGCTGAAGAGGCACTGTTTGAATCCAGTGTCTCGTCACCGGAAGTAGCCTTACTTTTTCCTGTTAAACAAATGACAGTGAAAAAAAAAGTTCGCTTTTGAGTTTTGTCACGTTGTATGTCTTCTACATATGCTTCTTTTATACTGATAGGTACAAAGCCATCCAATCACTCACAAGTACAATTCTTGCACTCAACTTGTAATAGCGCGATTGATAACTGGGCTGTTAGACTGTCGAGATACCAAGATGATTCGGTTTGCTAATCATAGTTCACAAAATCTCGGTTCGGGTTGTATTTTTATATCATCACAGTATTAAAAACAATCTAAAAAGGCTTCATTCTTTTTCTTTACCTGAGGAGCTGTTGTCAACAGCAGCCAGGTTTTCATCAGCGGCCATTGAAGCCTCTTTGCCAACTGAAATGCCAATGCATATTAACAGTTAAAACACTCGCGATCTACGATGACTTTTGTTGTTCAACCTCTAATACATTCCAGGTTCTTCGCCGCAGTGTTGCACTATCTAAGACTGAGATAACTTAAGAAACGGGAAACATTTGTTTGCACGGTAACGCCAAGGCTTTCTTTGTTATTTCCCTTCTAAAGACAGGCTCCTTCTCACTTGATCTGTTTTCAGTCTATCGAGGGGCAAACTTGTCGAGTAACATTTTTGTCCACATAACCCTAGCTGTTGTCAGATACTTTTGAATAATGTCGGTTAAGGTAACGTTATATGCTTTCCTTGTCAATTAATGGTTAGAGTCACGATACATGTATTATGTTGTGTAAAGAAAGCAATGAAATTTTTTTACGTAAAAGGCCTTAAATTTCTTATTCCAAGTTAGTTATGAAAAATTTTATGTTATTTTGCCTGGTTTTAAACAAAAACTGTGCCGGGCGTCTCCTGTTTGTGAAGCCTTTTAGATAACTTAGTGCAGATTTAGGCCTACATTCCGCATTCGGTTTTACATTGATCTCCCGTACCTTTTGGTTTGCTTCCATCGTCATCCGATTCCTCTTTGGGTGCAAAATGATCTTGGACTAGCAAACAACACAAGTTTACTTGAGCAAAAAACACTTTCAGTGTTCAGTTCGTTCGTAAGATTGTTTTCATAGCGTTTGCTGTACTCAGTGGTTTCAAACTAAGAATGACTACCATCTCTTTCCCGTTTATTTCTCTTACCTGAAGAAAGCTCATCATCCAAATCCAGTGTTTCCTGGATTGCCGTAGCCTCCTACGCAGACGTTCTTTGGGCTTGTCACGTAATCTTCCTCCCCCACGAACATGGGAGAGGAAGATTGCGTGACGAGCCCAAAGAACGTCTGCGAAGGAGGCTAAGTCAACGGTGGAGTTCGTCATTCATTGATTGTGAGCAGTTTGATAGCAGTTTGATATCTGACATCGCCAATAACCGTTGCTCATCTGTCTTCAGTCAGTCATTTGTTGGGTTTCCTTTTTATCTCCCTGACTCCGGTTTAGTTATAAGGGGCTTGGCAATCGGCGCACTTAATTAAATAAACCGGTCGTTGTCTAATATTTGAATTGTCCTTGTCTTTAATGTTTATTAGTTATGGAAGTTCTTTTTTTTTTTGACATTTTATAAACTTTGACTTCGTTTCGGTAACGCAATATTCAAAAACTACTTTGTCTAAAACAGTCCGCTGGGTCACCGCACAAAATTGGTCAAAGACGCCCGCAACCGATTTTCAGAAAACACATCTCTGCAAACTCAACTCCACTGGGCTCCGAAGAAGGGCTAACGCTCGAAACGTCAGCTTTTGTAATCGTTACGGTGGTCAATTTACCACTTCAACTTAGTTGATATATCCAAATTATTTCGTTACTCCCACCGACGCAGCCCTAAACAGTTTCTTTCGAAACTATCAGCCTTTATCCACTGGGCTCAATCGAACTTCCAAACTTACATGCTGAAGGAGTATCCTTCAAATCCAGTTTTTTCTCAACAGAAGTAGCTTGAATTTTCTGTCGATGAAATGACAACGAAATTATTTTCACTTTTATGTGTCTGTTATCAACTGGTCAAAGAGGCAGCTCATAGATTGAAGTTGTGATAACGCGATTGATAACTGGCCTGTTGGACTGTGGAGATAACACCATTATTCGCTTTGCTAAAATACCGATAAATATAAGTAATAATACTTGAGATTTTTCACAACATTTTCTTTCTTTATCTCCTAATATATTCAAGGGTTTTCCCCTTGATGTAAAAATATCTAAGACCGAAAATAGTATAGAAAGTAAAAAAATTAAAACGCATGGTTATTGAGCATATCTAGGCTGTAAAATAATTTCGTCTTTGTTTGTATCCTAAATATTGGCCCACAGAAAGTGACTCAGTCCATCTTGTTTAGCGACGTATTTCCCAGTGCTAAATTGACGCGGCCTACCCTTTTCGATATAGTCTGTTTAGTTCAGTGCGTACACGTTTCTTGTCTCTCAGTGGCTTAAAGTAGCTTTAAAAAATAGTATCACGAAACAAGGTGCGAGGAAGACATTGAACATGTTTAATGTAGTAAGGCCTTATATAAAGTTACGGCAACTGTGCGGAACAGCTTTAAAGTTGAAACATAGTCAGAGGGTATTTTGTTTAGTTTCAACAGATAGTAAAATTTATGTTACAATTTTACTATAGGTTTAGAGTTTGAACTAAACACCCGTACCTGTTGATTCGCCATCGTTATCATCTGACTCCTCTTTGAATCGAAACTGACCTTGAAATGGTAAGGAAGAATATTTTACTTCAAGCAAAGGAAACTTTCAGCCTTAATGAGTCAGTTTTTTGTGTTTGATTTATTTTCCTTGTTTCATTTCTCTAACCTGATGAAAGCTAATCATCCAAAGGCACCTTTTCTTGGTTTGCTGAGACTTTCCCCTCCGAAGTATCTAAAAATTAGAAAAAGGATAAAACATCATTATTGGGTTGTACTTTTAAACTTTCCTTTAAACAAGGAAGGATAGATTGGTTGAAAGTAACCCCCCTAGTGAGTGCATAAAGCGTCATAGATGATATACATCAAAAAAATAATTGCACCCTTTTTTCGCCTCTTTTATAGAAAAATAAATAACGATCGCCACCACCATGTTTATCGTCATCAAAATCATCATTATTGGTGATACTATCATTGTTTTCATCATCACCAAGTTTTTCTACCGTTCCCAGGACCATTACCAGTATGCAGTCTTTAACTCATAACAGACAGTTTGCTACTAAGATAAAGTTTGATTTCAACCTAGGTCAATACTTTATCGACGTAAGTTTAACTCTCATTTTTCACTAACTTGCAGCTGAGAAAGAAGCATTTAAATCCACACCTTGATCACTTGAGGAAGCTTTACTTTTGCTTGCTACCGAAATTACGACGAAAAGTTGTATCTCGGCTAAGTCGATTGAATTGAAGTCTCAGTTAAGTTAATGTTAGTGCATCTGAATCGTCAGTTCACAGGTAGTCTACTTCAAATAAGCTTAGCGTTCAGGGTATACTATTTGCCAGGGACTCAGTATTAGTATGAGTTACGTATTGAAAATAGATTTCCCCGTCCCGGGAATGATAAGTTCATTAATTATCAACATAAATAATTTCTGTCCATCATGAGGACGAACTCTGTTCTGTTGTCATTGCGGAAGTGGAAAAAAAGAATCTGATAGGCATGTATTAAACTGTTTTTCTCACCTAATGAATTGTTATCAGGCAAGTTCTGGTTTCCTTCGGCTGCTTCAACTTTTGCCTCTTTGGTAACTCAAAAGAACAGATTATATCATTGGTCATATAAACTGAAATATTTGACAAGCCTCAGTTTTGATCGATTTTTTTGATCATCCTATATGTTCATTTGGTTTTTCCCTGAGTATCGCAACGTGCAAGTCTAAAATAAGTTTACAAACTGAAAAATTAAAGGGCACAGTTAATGTGTAGTTTTAGGCTAAGAAAGAATCTCTTGGCTCCTGTTATCCTAAATATTTACCAACTAAAAATTACTCAGTCCACTTTTAATCTGTAGAAATGCTCTATTGTCTATCTTGACACGTTTTTGTTGAGGTAAGCCCGGCTGTTCTTTTGGGAAATACTTTTGTTGGGTTAATTTCCACACTCCTCGTGTCTCTCGGCGCGGGCTTCTTGGTCAGTCAAACAGTCAAGATCACTCAACAAAGTGCGAGGTAGACGTTTCCATTTTAAGACAAATGATTTCAGAAACTGAAAAAATTAAAATGCGCAAGTTCTCCCTAATTCGTTTTTGCTATATCGAGGTTACCAAATTATCTGTTCTCGATTTTTTAGCACAAACCGACTAAGAAAGGCCAACTCAGTCCGTTCAGTCATTTTCAAGGTGTTTAAAGGCCGCTTTTCGTCGCAGTGTTTAATTGACGATTCAATTCGAATCATTTTGTCGTACAAACTTAGGCTGTGTCACGTTGCCTTCTCAGTCTTGCACGCTTTTCAAAAATTTAGAGATAACTAGTGTAACCAAGGTCTACTTTGTTTCAACAACTTATTATCATCGAAAGAAGAAAAAAGCAATTACCTCGCGCAACAAGGATATAACAATTTAATTCGTTCATTAACAAAAGGCTCGCTGAATAATCCTACCGTGAGTTAAATTATTTTGTTCACATCGTGAGAGAAGGTTAAGGTTACCGTGCACCTTCAGGGGTGTCTCGCGTGCAAGCGATGTAGCGCGTCCGCTTTAAACTGTAGATATCTAAACTCCATATCAAATTAAAGCTTATAGGACTGCCTATCAGACTATACCAAAAATTTTGAAAAAAAAAATAATTGTCGAATTTTTCACGACTTCTAAATGCGATCGCCCGACTCACCTTTTGAACGTTACATGTTGAAGCGAATTTTGTTTTTCGCTTATTTAATGTGTTCCTCCATTTCTGGGACCAAAGCGCTAAAAAAAACGTGTCTGCGAT